GTCCTAATATAAATAATAAGCTTGGATAATTTCCTATAAACTTCAACTTTGAAGATACTATGTTATTCAATTAGTTATATAATAATTATATCCTTGTTATGAATTATTTTTTTCTAAATGTTGACTACGATTTAAATATCTCATACATGCTTTCATTCATTTATATGTTTGCAGGCCTCAAAAATTGTATGATAAGAGGATATTCTTTCTTGGAAGGAATGGAACAACTACTTCAGGATCTAAAACAAAATAACCTCGAGATGCATGCTTTTACTAACTATCCCATCTGGTAGGATGAAACTGATTTTTCAAATCTCCTTCTCGGTTTTCTTTCTAATAAATGAAAAATGTTATTCACAAGGCAGTAATTGGGTGCCATTTCCTTATATGGTATCCCTGATTATCCTTATACCTATTATTACAAGAAAGGAATCAGTGATGATCCTTATACAGTAAAATCGTTCATGAATTTCAGAAACTGCTTTTTGTAGGTACCAATTGATTGAGGACAAATTAAAAATTTCAACTTATTTATCTTGGACATTTTGTTCGTGTATAATAGGTATGTTTAAACAGCTGAGGTTGCATACTCTCTTTATCTAGCCTCATTGATGTTGTGGCTGTGCATATTTTCTAAGAGTGTAATTGTTTCTGAGTCAATATGTAGGATAAAATGTTTGTGTCTTTAAATTTCTTTGAAAAGAAAGAGTAAATATATCAAGAGCAGCAAGAGGTGCAAGCCTGTATATAAAAGTATTTACATCTTAATCAAAATATTTATAATATCCTCTAGATCCTCGTGAGTATAAAACAGGTGATCTTAATAAAAAAACCTAGAATTTAGAACCATAAATCCTTAAAGCTATCTAAAATATACTATATACCCTAAAAAATTCTCCTATTTTTTTCTTTCCAAATTACTGCCAAGGGGATAAGCCCTAAAGTCTTGTCAGTTTTTCTTATCTCTACAAATGCTTTTGCAGGCCTAGGGTTCTTCTTTCACTGATCTGGCCATCATCTAGTTCACGTGCAGCAGAATTTAAAACTTCTTCACACAAGTTCTGTATTTTCATTTTTCAGGAAAAAGGAAGCCTGATCCTGATTGCTATCTTGAAGTACTGAAACATCTTAATGTTCATCCTGCAAGCTGCATATTTATTGATGACAGGTTATATGCATATATCCTTATTCCTCTCATCTCAAGTCTTAACCCCTCCCCAAGTATGATATTTATTACATTGGGAGCATGATTTTCTTTATTTACTAGTTTGTCAGTGGTCTATACTCTGTTTTTTGAGGGGATCGTCTATCCTTGTTGTTCTTTCAATTTCTACTTCTTCGTTTTTCCTTTTTCTTGATAGTTATTATTATTATGCTGGAAGCTGTAATGAGTGTTGATCTGTCAGTTCATAGTGCTAGTTATCATATGTATCAGCAGAGGAAGAAGAGGACAAAGAAAGAACTAAGTAGTTTGTTTATCTGTTATGTCTTCCTCTTTTTCTATGTTCTGTATTGTCAAGAGTTAGTGTATTTTGTTGTCTTTTTGCCTCATCTTGAGTTGGCAGTCTATAGGATTTGAACAAGTATATAACTGCTATCTAGGATAAGGCAGTTACTATAAAATATTTATTCAGTCTATTGTAAGCGTTCACCGGAGTCAGTGAAATGGTTGTGATGTTGTAGCCACGAAATTTACCCATCACAATAGTCCATAGAAGGCCATTTCATGTTTGCTTGACATTTATAAGTCTCTTGCCAGGTATAAAGTGGGGATTGTTCAGTTCTTTTGCCTTTCCAAATGGTTTTCTAGTTTGGAACTCATTTTTTCCGTGGTTTGAATAATAGAGAAACAGATAAAACTCATTATCATGTTAAGCTTACTGCAATCATTTTAACCTTCCCAACAGTCTTATTGCAAGATATGGACGCTTGACTTAACGGGTACATATACCTGTAAATTGTTCTTTGATCAAATAACAAAGAACCCTAATTTTTACCAAAGTACTTTTATTAAGGCTTTTTGGCAAGTCAAGGTTCCCTTGAAGGTGAAAGTTTTTATGTGGGCTGCAATTCTCAACCGTCTAAACACCAATGAGTTGCTGTAAATTCGTAGGGTTAGCCGAGTTTTGTCTCCTGACATGTGTATTATGTGCTATAAGAGAGGGGAAACACATATTCATCTCTTTCTACATTTTTGAAATGGCGTGGAAGCTGTGTCAGGTGCCTTGACACTTAAACCTAGTATGGGTTACTCCATCTTCTTTGGATTGTTTCATCAGTACTAATATTTGTGGTTTCGAGGTTAAAAGTAAAGGCCAGACCACTGTGGTCAGGAACTCTATTTGCTAGTCTTTGAACTATCTAGATCGGGAGGAATTGGTGGATTTTTGACAATCTTTTGGAGGATAATTTTATTTGGGAGAAGATGACCTATCTGACTTCCCTAAGGGCCATGGTTCAAGGGCAATTGTTATGTTCTTAAGACCAGGATCTTGTCACCGGGCAATTCACCGGATAATCTGATTCTGAATCTTGCTTCTTTTCCTTGTTATGATTTCTTGAGCGATTTATTGTGAATTATTTTCAAACTCATCAAAGAGAGCTTGGCACCTTGGACCTTGTTAGAGAGAGCTCCAATCTTTATATTGTAATTATTTCTTTATTAATTTTACTTATTTCTTTATTAATTTTAGAGCCTTTTAAATAGGATTATATGCATTACATTATAGGAAACTTTTATTATTTAGGTTTCTCATAGCAAAAATAAAGAAGATTCTTAATTAGGATCAAAGTCTCCAAAATAAAAATTAAATTTTTAAATAAGATATAAATTTTTCTAGCTAAAATATATCTTTCTAGAATAGGAAAAATCTTAACCATATAATAAAAATTAATTGCTAAATAAGAGATAAGTTTTCCTAACTAATAAATAAGTTTCCAAAATAAGATAAACATAAACCATATCAGCTCCTTATTTGCCTTTTCTGTAAAAAGAATGGCCCACAAAAGAGTCTATAACAGTAATATTCTGACATCTCCCTCACTGTCCTTCATAGGAACTAGGATGCTATAGTCACATGATCTTTTAGCTCTTCAATGCTTCTTTTTCTTTTTGTTATTCTTGTATTGGTTTTCTTTTTGGCTTCAGCTAGATAATTTATCTATTGATTCTCTTTGTAATGCTTTTCCTACTATGTTAATGTTATCTTTTTTCTATTAAAAAACAAATAAATTCTGTTTTGCTGTAATGAAAAGAATTAGAGAAGAATTTAGAAAAAAATTGTTGTGGTCACTACTGACAGATCTTGTTATGGGTCTATGAACAAAAAAATCAATAGGAAGAGAATACTTTTTTTTAGATTTTTCTACCTTTACCTATTTTAGATTAGAATTAAATGCTCATTGGGAGAGAGAACCCTTTGATTTTGAAAGGAAGTAAGTATTCCACTTAGTAATTTTCTTCATACAAATTTGTCTCAATAAGATAATCTTATTTTGACAATTACAGCAGCAGTTATTTCTGAAACAAAATTTCCAGAATTGCCATAACTAGCCCTCTTGTCTTTATCAAGGCTTATTCTCCCATATTACAATCCCATCCTACAACTACTCAGACATGCTATATATTTTAAGACAAAATATTTTGTGCACATTATAGCATACCATTGTTAGTACCTAATTACACATAATTTATTTTTTATTTCTTTTTTGATGCACCCTTTAGAAAGAAACCATTTCGTTGTTCTCTAACATCACTTCCACACTAGAAATGAAGCTTGTCCTCAAGCACAAAGTAGGGATTATGAAAAGCCATTTGATCAACAAGTTCACAAGAAGCATCTGCTGATAAAAGACCCTCCTAATGGATAAGTACCTCATGCTGTCCCTTGTTGTAACGGGAATTTACTGGAGCTTGTAGATAAGGAAAAGGGATACTTTGATGGAGAGGAGGAAGAGTGGGAGGGACACCTTGCTGTCCATGATAAGGTTTGAGGAGACATGAAAAACTGGATGTAGCTTGGAAGTTGATGGTAGCTCCATTTTAAGTGCAACGTCCTCAATGAACTGGATTATTATAAAAGGCCCATAAAACTGGGGAGATAACTTCTGGACCCTTTTTGCCTAGAGAAGTTTGGCAATATGGTTGCAATTTCAAAAGTACCAAGTCACCTACATTAAAGATGACCTCCCGTGATGAGCATCATAGATTTGTTTCACGGCTGCTGAGCTTGCACGAACCTGCTTTGCAATCCATATAATACTTGATAAAGGTTCAGTAATTCACGATCCGCGGCTTCCATCTTAGATAACCTAGGGCAATAAGAGAGAAGTTGAGGAACTGGTCGGCCATAGAATACCTTAAAGGGTATAGCCTTCAATGAGTGAACCCAATGTTATAAGCGAATTCAGCCCAAAAGACCCATTGATTCCAGCTTGTAGGATGGTATCCTGTGAAGCAATGGAGGTACGTTTCAAGGGTTCGATTAACCACTGTAGTTTGACCATCGGGTTGAAGATGGTAAGCTGAACTAAATGAGATAGAGGAAGGAAATAAGCATACTTGGAAAACGATTTACCACCACCAATAACACATTTTTGCCATGCGAAATGGGAAGCACCTTCACAAAATCTGTAGATATATCGGACCAACTTGATTAGGAGCAGGTCAAGACTGCAAAAAACTAGCAGGTTTAGGTGTTCAACTTTTTTACATTGACAAGTCACACAAGAATGCACTAGACTTCATTCCCTTCCACACAAAAAAAAATTCATAGTGAGCTTTCGGATGGTTTCTGGTATTCTTCACGAAACTAAGTATGAATTGCACCCACAAATAATTCACAGAAAGAGGATTCTGGAAAAAGGAAAATTATCTTTTTGTAAAAGATTAACCCATTACTCACTTTCCAATGGTCATCTAATACCTTGCAATGAAACATTTTTTTTTTCACCTTTCATGAGTACCATCAAAGTAGTCAAGAGAAAAGATGGCTAAGAAATTACTGGTAGACTCAAATTGCCTAGAGAGAGCATCTGCCACTAAATTCTTCCTACTAGCATGATACTCCACCACAGGATTAAAATCCAATCGCTTACTGATCCAATGTTGTTCGGGAGAATTTAAAACTTGCTGTTTCAATAGAAATTTGAGGACGTAGTTACCTGTTTTGATGCAAAACTGCTGTCTGCATAGATAGGGATGCCATATTTAATAAAAACTTGTTAATGCCTTGACTTATTTCCTTTTTAATGCACTGATTTACTTTTTCTTTAATAACTTGATTTACTTTCATATTTAACAAAACCTTGTATATGTAGGACCTTGGTATTCCACAAAATATGCACTCAATCATTCTTAACAAGTTTCTCTGATTGCATCCTAAACCTCTTTAGCAGTGGGTGGGAACATTCATGTGTTGATCATCATGCTATTGAATTCTCGAGTCAAGCGATTATTGTTGAGTCGTCTTTATCCCATGCGTCAAGTTGTAGGTCTCCCGATTTTGGCCCAATCCCAAAGTATGGCTGAGTTTACCTTTTCATTTGAGGATAGCACAAATTAGTTGTGACCAGGTTAGGTATTTTTTCCCATTCAGGCGATTGGTGGCCTGATTCACTAGAATTCTCCAGTTAATTCTTGCGTTTCTGGATTAGCACCAATGACTTGTGATGTGACTTCTAACATGGTGCAAAAAATGCAAGTAACGAAGGCCAGTTCGACTAGACAGCAAGGGGCAGCACGTGCAGCAGCTGAAGGAACACCCACTGCTGGTGGTTGGAGCATGGAATACATGCGCGACTGCTGGAGCAGAGAGTGACTCACGAGCAACCAAGTGTATGCGCATGGCCAGTTGCATTGCTGGGTGCTTGCACGTGGCAAAGTTGCCCAGTCTGGCTGGGGGCATGCACAGTTGGTCACCTTGTTGAAGGGCTGGCCACGCAGCTGGCAGCTAGTATGGGGCAAGTAGACTGGATATGCTGCGGCTGCTGTGTCAGTTGGCTGGTGTTGCGTGGTAGTTGGCCCTGCACCTAGTTGTTTTCCGACCATGGAGGACAATGGTGATGGTGGCTGTTGTAGTGACCGACTGGGAAGGCTGGTCCCTTTTGGGTTTTTCTTATTTCGATAAAAAAAGCCAACTGGAATATGTAAAAGAAATAGAGTTTTTTAACCTAAAATTCTGATATTATGTCGAGAATGATGTGTTGTGTTTTTATTAAATAATATTACCTTATGTATATAAGTTCTAGAGAATAATGTGTAGTTTACCACCAACCTAATTCAATCCCAATTAATTACATATAATGTACATTCTCTAACAGGGAGGTCATCCATAACAGTTGCCTGTGATACCAAAAGATTAATGATATTATTGACTTGTTAAGAAGGAACCAAAAGATCTCTAAGAGTTGAGCTCTTAAGAAACCTCTTCTAGATGCTTCTCTCATTCTTTTCGTTACTGCAAAAGAGAATTTATTCTTACAATAAATTGAATTACTGTTTTATAGTAACTGCCTTATTCTAGATAATAATTATATGCTAGTTCAAATCATATTAACTTCCAATTGAAAAGGTAGCAAATAGTCAAGAAAATAAACTACTGTTTTACAACACAGAACATGGAAACACAGAGGCATAGCATAAAATGTAACTACATAAAACAGATACACAAACTGCTCTAGTTTCTTTTATGTATTTGTCATCCTTTGCTGAAACATCTGAGTAAAAGTACTATGAACTGACTGATCAATGCTCATAACAGAAACATGCCCAAGTTGAAATCTCTCTTCTTGCACTGTTCAAGGTGATCACTGAAGTTATAAAGTGTTCACTGGTCTAATTGCATGGGAGTTTAAGAAATAGGAAAATAATGATTGATTGGTAGGGCAACATTATCTGAACATCAGTACAGCTGGCTTACCTTTTCATCTGGATTCTTAGTCTTGAGATAATCTTTATCTATTGGGAGCATGTCATGATAAAATCATTTTTTATATGAGCTTATAGCCAGATTCATATGGGGCACAAAATGCTGATGCAAACTAACATATTAAATGAAGTCCCAAATTTGGGTCACAAGAATCATGGTTTTAATTGGTTTCTCAACTCATCAAATTTGAACTGATTTATGCTAGTCAATGATTCTGGCGTCAATCTTGTTCAAGTGGCTTAGCACTCATGTTGCAGTTGTGACAAGAACACATGCTAATTAGATGACAAACACATGTGTGGGTACATGCAGAAGGAGCAGTTTGAAAGTGAGAGTGGGTGTGAAAATATAACTAAGACGTTTCTATGCATAAATATCTGATTTATAGCATGAACTGACTCCAGGTTGAGAAATGTGGAAGCTGCAGTAGAAGCTGGCATTGTCGGCTTGCATTTCAAGAATGCAAATTTGCTTCGGCAGGATCTCTTGCAATTGGGAATTGACATTTCTGCACATGAAAATCAAGAATTGTGAGTTCTTTCCCAGACTGTATTCCTATTCATATAGTGAACTCATTTTTTTTTTTCCAGTGGCTCTTAATTTGTTAATTTTTGTTGGTGCCATTGGTTTAGTTTGTTGATGAATAGTGATGCTTCCTTCTGAATTATTTGGCAGCAAACCAATCTTTGGATTGTAGCATTATGGCTCTAGTTCTTGAAACATGTATATGATAATTTAACTGCATAAATTTTGGTGGGAACCTTCTGGGTATACAAATCCCAGGAGATGACATGATTATGGGGTGTGTATTTCAATACATTTAATAAATCTTTAATATATTCAAGGAAAAAGTTAGTATACAACATATAAATATATTACTACTAAATTGATTATTTATTTATGCATTAGAAAAAATTACTAAAAATAATAGGTAGTTATTATAATTAAAGTGGTAATTTACTATGTATTTGAAAGTGACAAAATATACTAGCATATATAGAGATAAATTTATTATACAGCTTATATGATTAAGTGATTTTCGATCCATATTTTACATTATGCTGCTGCTGCTAACAAAGGCATATATGTCAAGAATAAGCTTGATAAATTCAATTTTTTTAGTTACTACAAAGGTTTTTTTTTTTTTTTTTTTTTTTAGTAACAAAACTGAATATATGATTATTAAAGTTAATTTTTCAAAAATTATGATATAACATTGCTAGATTATTATCAAGTATAACTATTTATCAGAGAGTTAATTAAGAATAGTAATTGTCTAGTCAGATTAAAGAAATATTATTAAAAATTAAATGGATATACTAAATATATGAAATTTACTGATTAGTTTACGTTTATTAATTATGCTTGTACGATTATTTTAAATATAAATGCATAATAAAAATATGGTTAATAAAATTAATATCTTAAATTTTTATGAAGAGTTTTAATAAGAAAATTGAATATAAGGTTACTAAAATTCTCATAAAATAATATAAAAAATAGTTAAATATAAAAAAATAACATGATAATTTATTGCATATTAGATAGTCGTAATTAATAATAACATATTTTTCTATAAAATGTATTAAATTATTACAAATCTGTTTATTCATATTCTATGCTCACTATATTGAATTGAGTTGGAATGGAACTATCAAACCTTTTTAATGTACTATATAAAGATATTTAAAATTTTCGTAAACTATTTTTTTATTTAAAATTTTTTTTTACTTTTAAAAGACAGATAAAATTTTATCTTTTTGTTAGATGCAGTTAACATCATTTAAGCAATATTAAGTTAGAATGTAACGACCCTGTAAATATTCAAAGGAAATAAAAAATAATTAAAGTACAGAAGTGTAATAAAAATGTTCAGACTTTACATGTTTTATACAAATAACTTAAAAACACTAAATAGTTTTACAGAATTCACTCTTTTGAAAGAAACATAATAATAAAGAAATAAACGGGAAATAAAGAAATCTAGTATCTACTCGCAATTCTCTTGCGGATCGAACTCTGAAACTTGGTTTTCTTGATCTGAAATGGTTAAGTAAAGGATGAGATACACTAACCCAGTAAGGAAATCACACTATGTCACCGACACAGAAATAAAGATTGGTAGAAAATTAAAAATACTAATAGAGTACTAGATTTAAAATAATACATTTATTAAAAATAAAACCATTTATCGTTAACATACCGTAGTGGGATTCATAAAAATAATTTATACAGATAATAATATTATACAGATCATGATTCCATGTATAATCAGCAATCATAGTACATGTTATAAATCTATATCCATCATCAATAAACCAAACAATAACTATCACTCTTTTTACTAGCCTACTGGTATTCATTGGGGTTCATAGAGATGTCCCTGCTACACGTGAACCCTTTTATTTAACATTCTTAATTACGGACCGTCCTCATATCCTGTCCAGTATAAGCGTCAATTTACCAAACCTCAATACCCCGTCTGGTATGAGACAACGTTCACAGTAGGGTTCCATATGTACCCGGTCCGTCTACCATCTCTCAGGATATCCAGTAACACTATCATTTCATCTACTCATTTCATCACACAATTTTTTACCGTTTAATCTTCATTTTTTCCGATTCAGCAGTAAACATATAGAATAAATTATTTAAAGCCATAAATTCAATTAATAAGATACCATCATGCATATAAACTGTAAAAACAATCAACAAACAACAATAGATAATTCTCGGCTCTGCCTCCATTAGTAATCCGTAATTAATTATGCACATTTCCTAAATTCACATAAAATCTCGTATTATTAATTATTAAAACTTCAATTCTATGATAGAGAATAGGGTGAGGGATCCTTACTTGATTTGATACCCGAAAAGCTAAACTGCTCGACTGCGCCTACGGGCAATTTTCGAGTTTCCTGAATTTTTCTTCGAAAATTAAAATACGCTAATAGTACCTATAAATGTCCCAAACAAACCTAAAATAAGTCCCGAGGCCCACTTGGCCAATTTTGAAATTTTGACATGGCGACTCCACCATGCTCCAGTGATGATGCTGCCGCTCGCGGCAGCGATCCACCTCGGATTGGCTGTTTTCAGCCATTTTCAGTCAAATTCGGCCGATTCTACATCGATCTCTGTGAGAAAATACGTTAAAGGGCTTCGGTTGGCCGAAAAAACACAAAAAAAAATCAAAACTCACAAGCGATGGGGCTCTTTTGCGGTGGCTCCTCCGGCTCACGATGCAATTGAGTGTTTTACTCTGGTTAACCTGTAGAAAAGGACACGGTGATCACAAAGGTGGAAAAATTATACAGAACGGGAATCAGAAAGGGCCTCATCGGAGGCGTTTTGTAAAATTTCTCGCGGCGGTGTTGCCGGGCTTCGCTGGCATATTTCAACCAATTGACCAGTCTTTTTGCTTCGATTTGTCCATGGGTGTGCTTAAAATTGAATTTTAAGCAAAATGAGAAATTTTTTACCTTTTTTGGCGATCGGAAAAAGCTCCGGTGCGGCGGCGATGTACTTCCAGCGGTCGGGTCTTCTTCTCCAGCGAGGGAGTCTGGCGGTTAGGGTTAGGGTTTGGTGTGGATGAGGGTTATTTATAACCATCAGCTTTTGATC